GGTGGGATGGGAATTAAGTCATGCAGTGTGGAATATCTCATGGCTATGTAAAATCTCAAGTGGCATACGTGCAATAGGAGATCATTATTTACAGAATCCGATGCATGTATTGAGAACATAATTTTAGCCTCTGGCTCAATACGTTTTTACAAAAACCCATTATGTCCCTCTGCAAGTGGCGTGGCGAAAGTGCTTGCTGGCTTGGTCACGGTTTGTCCCTGGCACCAGCGGTGCGAGCTGACAGTCTGTTTTTGATCCTGTTGCAGGCTGAAGAATACTCCCCGCCCCAAGTTCTCGGTGTGCCTCCTGGGAGACCAGCAGCACTGTGATGAGGCCGAGGCAGCCAACATCCCCCACATGGACATCGAGGCTCTGAAAAAGCTCAACAAAAACAAGAAGCTTGTGAAGAAGCTAGGTACACCTCGTTCTGATGTGGTTCTGTACGGTGTTCCCTCGTTTATTCACGAGGGATACGTTCTGGAGATGCTCGTAAAAAGCAACTTTCGCAGATAATTTGGCCTACATTTGCAGATGCTTTAACGCTTCGAGAAGTTATCTCTATTTCTCTCATCACTTTATCGCATCACATTCTCTCTCGTCACTTTATCTCATCACTTTATCTCACTCTGGATGCTGTCATGTAGAATTCCAAATGTGATCTGCAGATAGCCAGAGTCACGGATAACAATTATTTTGAATAACGAGGGAATATGCTGTACCCAAACACACGGACATACTGGAATGGCTTTCCACGGTGGTTAGGTTACAAATAGGAAATAATTGTGCTATTTGGCAGTTAGGAAGGCATAAACCACATTGGTTTGAACTCTCAATATTGAGCTTTGTATTTTGTTTTGACCACCCTCCAAGTTGCGCTTTCGTGATAGTTCAATCTGCAACTCGCAAAGCAGTGCATCGGCCCTGTTTGACAACCCCTTGCGGAAAGTGATGTCTTTAACTACTACAGACAGCATAAGCTCTGTTATCTCCGGCATCCATGGGGAATGAAGGGTGCCGGCTCATCGACTATGCCGGTTATCTAAGAGTTATACTTATGGTACACCAAGTTTTCCAGGCACTTAACACTTGTCGTAAAATAAACTAAGCCTACATTTTAACGACAGAGGTCCTCACCAGTTAGTTGTAGAGCATTCTGAGTGTTGCAGAGAAGCATTGGGGCTATTTAGAGTACAGTATACAGTACTGAATGTACAGACTGCCGCAAGCGCCACCGCTCAGCAGTGTCCTGAAGCTCCCGTAAAAAACGGATCTATGATAAACGCACGGCAAGATGCCGAATGGCCCCGTTGGAATTTTACTGCATCCGTGAAGGAAGATTTATATTGCCGCCTATGACACACGCTGGTCAATAGACCATTCTGCATGGTAAAGTGTCGGATAAGAGCTTTTGCTGTATATACAAATACACAGAACCACTATGAGATCACTTCAAGCGACCTCTTATCCACACCAGGGGAAGCACTCTCCCACCTGCCCTGCTATAGATATTTGAATCATGGTCTGACCGAAGTTGTATTTTTTTTATTTTTTTTACTCTCAAAAGCTGAAATTCTGAATTAAATCAAAACTAATGAACGGCTGCTCATGCACATTCATTGGTGTCTGAGCTCAGAACGTTACCTTCTACACTTAAAGACCCGATTAATAATGTTTATGCGTGACGCCTGGATTTGTCCCTGAGCCGCTACTTGCCATGGTTAACGTCTCGCCACAGTGGCGTCATGTTAACTCTCATCTGGGTTCGATCCCGACCCAGACGCCTGCTGTATATTTGGAGTTTGTGTCTCCCCCCCGTGGTCGTGTGGATTTTTCTCGGCGGTCCTCTGGTTTTTCCTTCCACATTTAGAAACATGCATTTAAGAGTTAGTTGGCTGCTGTCATTTTCCACACGATAAGTCACTTTGTTGAGCTATCATTTGTGGCCGGATCACTTCTGAAAAACAGCTATATATCTCAGTGGGCCTAAATATGGTAAAATAAAAATCGTTTCTAGTTTCAACCATTTAACTGCCTAGCTCTTGCGTTACTCCACAGTGCAGATCTTTGTGACTGCCATTGCATTTCCATGAACGTTGCTAAACAGAGAGATGAACCATGATGGGGGGGCGGAAAAGGAATCGCATTTGTTGAGCGCTGACCTATGGGCTAATGTGAAATTGAGATGCAACCAGGCCTGTGCCTGCCTCACGCGACGGCCATTGCTGTTGTACCCATCCCGATCGACGTCTCTCTACCCTCCTGCACCCTTTACATCGCCACAGCCAAAAAGTACGACGCCTTCCTCGCCTCCGAGTCGCTCATCAAGCAGATCCCTCGTATCTTGGGCCCTGGCTTGAACAAGGCTGGCAAGTTCCCTTCTCTACTCACCCACAACGAAAACATGGCGAGCAAAGTCGACGAGGTGAAGTCGACCATCAAGTTCCAGATGAAGAAGGTACGTCATCACGCTCGCACGCCGCAAGCCAAACAGCTCGTGTTTGTCTTCCTGCTCGGGGCCAAATAGCTGAAGGTTTATTGTGCAATGGTACAAAACACACATTCTGGCCTGTCAAGGCTATAACACAGGAGGTGGGGAACCAATGGCCCACAACTTCATTTTGCATGGCCGAGTCACTGGACCTAACACTTCGAAACAGTCTGCAAACAATGCTTATCCGTCACTGCAATCACCTTGGCCGCACTAATTGGATACTGGACGCGAATATTTTTAAATTTCCACTTTCTAATTTTAGCGTGGACACTTCTGTCAAGTGATGATCAAGGTGTTTTCATGTGTTGGCCCACCAAAGTTATTTGTAAGCCAGCCATGTTCTTCCGTTGTTAAATAAATGGTTCCTCACCCCTATTGTGAATGACAAACTAAAGCCTAAAAGTGCGGTTCATATTCACGTCTGAATACAAGGGAAGATGGCTTGTTTAAAAAAGAAAAAATCCTTAATTTTTTTGTTTGCTATACATGTAGTTTTCTACAGGGAGCTGGGAATATAAATGGTTTGCGTCTGCAAATATTTACAATAGGAATACGATTTCATTGTCTTGCTTCTTGCAGGTGCTTTGCTTGGCGGTTGCTGTTGGGCATGTAAAGATGACGGAAGACGAGCTGGTGTCTAACCTGCACCTTGCCATCAACTTCCTGGTGTCGCTGCTCAAGAAGAACTGGCAGAACGTGCGTGCGCTCTACCTCAAGAGCACCATGGGCAGACCACAGCGCCTCTATTAACCATCACACCTCCTCCTGTGCATGCGCATTCCTTTAAGTATCGTGTATGCCTGTGCTGGCTGTGGTGTTTGGTATAAAAATAAAGGTGAAATGATTTCCACGTGGCTTCACTTGAAACCTTATTGAGTCAGTATGCTGTATGAGCTCTGACACAATGCAACCAGAGTGAGGATATCAAGAGGATCACGGGAGACCCTGGCTGAAGTAATCACCAATATGGTATGTTTGGTTACGTGTGGTGTGAAAGTACAACATGCAATTATTTACTGACAAACCAGATAAGTTGGAAATGGTTCCCGCCTCTTCCCACGTGTTTCGGGGGGTGGGTTCAGGTGTAATTTTTAAGGGAGCCAGAGTAATTGAAAAACAGTTAAAGTGTCAGTTGACATTCTATTTAGCCTTCCCAGTTCAATACAACTGCTTGTGCTGCTTGTGATGTCAACACTGCCTTTCAAAATAGAAAGGACCTTATCTCTTTGGCATCTTGAAGCTTTCCATTTGGTTATAGCGGGCATTCGATGCCTTGTTTATTGCTGGATGGAAGTTGCAGGCAAGTTAATGTGCCGCGTAAACCTGTTATACTGTTGATTTAAAGCTTTCGTGACTGCAGTGATTCATATTCTTGGGTCTTTCGGTAAAGTCACGTTGAAGGGACTTTACCGAAAACCAAGAATATGTTATACTGTATTCTTTGGGTCTTTCGATAAAGTCAGGTTCAAAGAAAATAAAACTGACGTTTCGATCGCAAAACAAGCGGTCATCAGGCTGAAAAAAAGAGGAAAGCTGCTGACGCAGACTGTTTTAAAGGTTTGAAGTGGGTGTAGCCCAAGGGTCACAAACGAAGTGGGCGGGGCTATTTATGTTAATGTGATACATTAGCATGTTAATGGTAGATAAGATAACCTCCACGAGTGTGCAGTGGCTGTGTTAATGTGAGAGAAATGAACAAGTAATGTAAGATCGCAGAGCTGCAACCACTTCGGCGCACGAGGTGGCTTGAGAAATTTAACCTGTTAATGTGAAATCGGAGAGCAGCAAGTAACTAACATCAGAAGGTAGGATGGAGACATCAGCCAGTTTGGACTTAAACTGGTGAATGATTGCTCTGTACCCATCTTCTCGGTTGAAATTGTGTCTATAAATATGGATGGCTTCATGAATTTTACATTAACACGTTCAACTTCTCAGCCACTTCGGGCACCGACGTGGCTGCAGCTCTTCGATCTTACATGCTAATTTCTCTCACATTAACATAGCCACCTCCGCACGCTCGTCATGGAGGTCGTCCACCGAGCTTACATTAACATGCTCATCTCTCACATTAACATCAAGAGCCCCGCCCACTTCATTTATAACCCTTGGGCTACACCAAATTCAAACCTTTAAAAGAGTGCGTCAGCAGCTTCTCTATTTTCAGCCTGATGACCGCTTGTGTTGCGATCGAAAGGTCGTAGTCTTTGGTTATTTTCTTTGAACCCATCTACGTGACTTTACCGAAAGACCCAAAGAATATGAATTCCTGCAGTCATGAAAGCTTTAAGTCAAGAATTTTACTGTAGTTTCACTTTATATCGTGCTCATGAAAGCTGCCATCTCTAGAGCCTTGCTCTTAAAGCCCTAATTGTTGCAAAACATTTCCAACCTGAGCTGGAAAGCATTTAAACATGCACATACTGGCGATCCATCAAATAAAATAGTAATGCTATTGCAACGTTTAAGCTCAACGTGAACCCAATGAAATCAGAACTAATGGAGGCTCAACCGTATGAAATAACGTTTACTCGGTATCCATCGGTTGAAAAACAAGCCAAAAACGCAATTTGCACAGTGGCAATCCTTGTGTCATCGCACGCGAACATACAACTCCTTACCACACTTTCTCGAAGGGACTGACGTTGAAAAAATGTGTTCGGCCGGTAAACTTCAATAGGGGGTCACGAGTTCTCCTACACGTTTGGCAATTGAGTTAGACCATCTGGTGCAGCTGGGGATTACGCAGCACATTCACGTACTCTTGTGAGGGGCGATGGAAACACTTGTGGGGTTACAACAGTAGGTCTTGCTGCATAAAGTGAATGGTCTGTAGCGCGTTATTTTGAGAAACACCAAATGTTATAGCTGCAGATGAATTTGACGTGTTTGCCGATAGTGGATACATCTGCTAAATGCATCAAGATTCAAGAAAAGATTAGGAATATAGGGGGAATCTTCTTACCAGACCCGGCTCCCAGTGCTTGTAGGGAAGAGCTAATTTGTGACGCGTGTGTGTTGTGGCTTGAACAACGTACATTACGCACTTCAAGCTGACCCATGTAAGTAAAATATCAAAGCTTCGTGCAGGTTACTCGTGTCGCTTCGTCGGGTCACAGATCCCCCCGTCGCCCCTCGGTAACGCACGGGTGTGTGCGTGTGTGCGTGCGTGCGTGTGTGCGTGTGTGCGTGCGTGCGTGCGCGTCGACCGGGACGGGCCGTTGGGCGGCGACGGTCGTGTCGCGTTTCACGCGGGCGGTGGGGAAGCCTCAGGTGAGGATGTCGTGGGCCCGGTCCTCCACCAGTACAGCCATGTTCTTCACGTTGTCGCACCACGAGTCCAGCCTCTCCTTCATCCCCGCGATCTGTGCCGAGCAAGCGACAACGGCGCACCCCGCCCCGCCCCCCCCGTCAGTACCCGTCGCGCTGGGCCGAGAGAGTGAAAATGGACGGCTGCGTGAACGCTGTTTTGTTTTCACGTTTGTCCCAATTGTGATATGGACATCGTGGAATGAGATTAATCAATTTACGTTTTAAGGCATAGCAGCGCAAAACCTCTCGTGGCAGAACGGCTCCGATAGATGGATAGTAACAGAGCTGCCTCGGAAATCCCTTCGTCACCTCTGGTCTACGCGGTAGTGGGGCCAAATCTGAGCGCAGAACCAAATTTAACGTGGTGGTGTGTGTTTTTTGCGCAGTCATTGGTGACCAATCCGAGACCGTCTCGTTGCACTTGTGAAGCCAGTTTTAGTAATGGGTGGCTACTGAAATTTGGACCCAGGAGTCTCAGTGGTGTCATCTAATAACTTTCTCTGACATTTCAAGCGTGTTCCTGCTAAGTTTAGGAATGATGCTCATCCTCGGGGTGGGGGGGGTGGTCAACCGTTGACTTTGCACAGTCAACTTTTACTTTATGCACCCCCATAGGCAAAGTATACCGAGTTGGCCTCCAGCTTAGTTTTTAACTGCCATTTTATTAAAATTCCAGAGTCTGTAGCTCTGCTACAGAGCCACACGGCCTTTTCAGTCGTGTTCTGTGTTGTTGCAGGAATAGCCTAACAACACGGCATTACATATGGTGGCCCCATGACCAAATCGCCTAGAATGTGTCAGATCTGTGACGTGAAACAGGGAAGTACCCGGACGGTGAATGGAATACCGTCAGCAAAAAACGAGCATTTACAATGCATTGTGGGAAACGGATGCACAGTAACACCCATCGTTATATTTATTTTATACTTTAGCAGGTAAGGCCCACTGAGCGATACACCACTGTTTCACAAGTGACCTGGCCACAAATGATAGCTCAAAGAAGTGGCTTATGTGGAAAATTATAGCAGCCAAATACGTGCGTGCCCCCTACCGTCACCAACCAGCACTGACCAGCGTGATGACACTTGGTGAACTGGACATTCTGAAAAAGAGCTTTATAGCTCATCGGATTCGTCCAGTACAAATAAATATTCAGATTCTGGTGTAATAATCCCACCATGATCCACACAGCATGGGGGGAAGGGCGCTCATCCAGCAGAGGATTGGCAATAGGGCTGCGCTCGTACAAGAACGTGCGTGTTGATCCCTAGAGCGGTCACCTGCTGCAGGTTGAGCACGCGCGGCTGCACCCAGTTCATGTGCACCTTCTTGTCCACCTCGTCAATGCTGCCCTTGGCCAGGCCGGCCGACAGGGCTTTCATCACCAGCAGCTCCACCTGGCACAGGGTGGCGGGCGAGGGCGGAGGGGAGGAAGGCATTGGTGACATCGGTGTATGCGTGTAAGATAAAAGAAAAAAAACTTCATTTTACCAGGTAAAGCCCACTGAGCTATATAACTCTTTCAGAAGCGACCTGGCTATCACATGATAGCTCAAAGAAGTGGCTTATCATGTGGAAATGTATACAGGCGTTGGGATAGAACCCACTACCACCTGTATGCCAGGCGAGGTAGTCAACATCTCGCCACCAGGGGCCGCCAGTGGCCCACGGGCCTTGCAATGAAGAACACTGAGCCAGAGCATCAATGGGAAAATGACGGACTTTACGTGGGCTGTGAGGATGCATTATACCTCGTTGACCGGGAGCTTCGCCTTGGTGGAGATTTCCTGGAACGTGAGCTGCCGGTTGTTTGCCGGCCGTGTGAACGTCATCTGGAAAACGAGACACAGGAATACAAGCAAGGCAACTCGCAAGGCAGCCAGCATGGTCCTCCCACTTCAAGTGAAAGTGGACCCACAAAAGGGCAATTTCCTTTTGTGAAAGTCCATAATGGTCCACGTTACATTAAATCTGCACGTTCCATGGTAGATCCAGCCCCTCTGCCATCACCGATAGAAATTCTGAGAAAGCCGATGTACGATTACGGAAACACGACGAGGCTGCTTGACCACTGTGAACCGCCGTGAAGTCTGGAGGCACTGAAGAATTCGACTGCACATCAATCTAAGTCATTTCCCGTAAAACGAATCTGCACGTAAGACTTGTAAGTCGCTATTCATCCAGCCGTACGTAAAAACTACATTTTCTCCACTACTGCAATGTAAAACAATGGGTCTACCTGCTCACTAGCGGCCAAAACCCAGTCATGCAAATCCTACGAACCTATGACAAGCAGGAGCCTGTATAATAGGACGAATATTGCCTTGTCACTCAATGTGTGCGGGTAATGGGCTGAGATTAGAATTTTGCAAATGCCTTGTATTCTTGGTTCTTTCGGTAAAGTCACGTAGAAGGGAAACAATAAAATATAACGTGACTTTACCGAATGCACCAAGAATATGAATCCCTGCAGTCACGAAAGCTTTAAATCAAAATGTAAACGTGCCTTGAGTGAATTAACCGCTAATGCTGCTGCGTTGACAGTGGTGCACAAGCGCAGTTATCAAATAAACTCAACCCCGTTTGTTAATAACAGTGTGGCCTTTAAAAATATTTATATAAGACTCGCGGGAAGTACCCGGTGTTGCCCGGGCGAGAAATATATTTCTAAACTTATCTTAAAAACATTACATATACATACACATATACGAAGCTATCGTGGAAGCCCGGTGGCCCGTTTGTCCATTTCTCCACCAACAAAATTATAAGAGGCTTGCAGAAGTCCAAAAAGTTATATAAAGTGGGGGGTAAATAGTTGATATAAAAGGTTCTTGAAAATTGTTGACCCCCCCCCTTAAAAAATGTTTTTTACCCCCGCATAGGTTACAAACGTACACACCCTACATACAACTAAGTAGTATCTATTGACTCTGTAGATGTATCTACTGACTGTACAGTAGTATCTACTGACTGTATAGTAGTATTTACTGACTGTAGCAACTACTGACTGTAGTAGTATCTACTGGCCCTACAGTAGTATCTACCGAATCTATAGTAGTATCTGCTGACACTATAGTCCACTGACTATAGTAGTAACTACCAACTCGATAGCAGTATCTACTATCACTACAGCAGTGCATACTGACTTTGGTGGTATCTGCTTTAACTACAGCAGTGCATGCCGACTGTGGATGGTACCTGCTTTCACTACAGCAGTGCATACTGACTGGTGGTACCTGCTATGATTACAGCAGTGCATACAAACTGTGGTGGTACCTGCTATGATTACAGCAGTGCATACAAACTGTGGTGGTACCTGCTACGATTACAGCAGCGCATACAAACTGTGGTGGTACCTGCTATGATTACAGCAGTGCATACAAACTGTGGTGGTATCTGCAATGATTACAGCAGTGCATACTGACTGTGGTGGTACCTGCTATCACTACAGTAGTACATGCTGACTCTATAGCAGTATATATCGACTCTAGAGCACAAACTACTAACCTGACAAAGTGCCATCATGAGGCCTAGTCCCGCGAAGAGCCCACGGCCTCGCCTAGGTTGCCCAGCCGGTCAAGGTGGCAACCTGGTAGGCTGGGGGCTGGGCCGCTACCCCCCCACCATCCCCCTGCCCGCTTTACAATAATAGTACGTAAGCGCTATAATATTCGTATCTACCGACCCGAGAGTACTAAGTGCACACATTGGGGTGGGGGGACATGACACTTTGAAGAATTTACCTCAGCGTTGTATTTGTTTAGCATTTTGAACGCGCATGAGAAATCCCCGCCCCCTCCACCGATGGCGCGCGTGCGTTGCTAGGGGCAACCCCCGGGCAGCTTTAGCCCTCGCGGAGCGGCGAGAGTAAATAATTAAATAATACAGAATAGCACTAAAATAGTTTATTTAACTATTAAAGTTGACGGAATAGCGCTGGCTCACCATGGGGCTTACGGCGTGGTACCTGGCTACTTTTTTTTAAACGTAAACCCCCACGGTTCGTGAGGCAAATCCTTCGCAAGTGTGCATCCACACAGAGGCAGACAGACGGACACAGACAAAAAATTACTTTCATATGTAAGATAGGTGATGTTTGTGGCAATGGCCCTTCTTCCTAGCAAGTAACATGTCTGTTGAGGACTATTAACCATAGCGCTATCCAAAGGAATATTATGATCCTTAATAATAACAACAAATACATTGTGCTTATGTACCCAGGGAAGCTACGGAGTCTCCAGACTTTTCACAATGACCATACATCCCTGTGGGAGGAAATATTACTCAGAAAGCTGAGAGCAGAGGTACAGTATACCAATAGATTTTGATGCACCGTCCTCTGCCACGCACACCATGCAGCCTATAACAGACTGTTGTGCGTGGTCATCACCCATGCAAGCATTTATCTGGATTCGATCCAGGTTAGCGTTTAAGATGGGACGAGATCGGGGCGCATTCCGAGGTGATTTGATTTACTGATACCACGCCCGTCAAAACGGGCTTTCGATTTGCCCCACCATTTGCCCCACCACTCACCTCCATGATGCAGAGCAGCTGTATCTTCTTCAGCAGCTTGGACTCGTTGGCAGCGAGGTCAGGCTGGGGGCAAACGCGGAAAACCACTTCGTTAGCCTCAAACTCATTTCTACGTACAAGGTTTTGCCACTCTCGCGCAATGCGGTTTGTTTAAGAAGGTGCCTACCACAGTGCTGTTAAACGTTAGTTTACTATAGCTCCACCATGCAGGTGGGGGATATAGAGAGAGATTGATGACGTGAGCGGGTTGAGAGATGCATGGAGCGCCGTGGTAGTGAGATGTTAACTCCCTCGCCTCGTATAAAGGAGATCATGGGTTCGATCCCAAACCTGAGGCTTGTTGTATACTTGGAATTTGCGTGTCTCTCTCCCCGTGGTCCTGTGGATTTTTCTCCAGGTCCTCTGGGTTTTTCCCTTCACATTTAGAAACGTGCATTAAGAGTATTTGGCTGCTATAAATTACCACGTAATAAGCCACTTTGTTGAGTTGTCATTTGTGGCCAGGTCGCTTCTGAAAAAGAGCTACATAGCTCAGTATGCCTTACCTGCTAAAATAAAAAAAATAGTTTAAGTAGAAAAGATTAAGATCCCGCACCTGTGTGCCCCACTTGGGCTTCAGTGCCTGGAACTCCTCCACGTTGCCGCTGTTGAAGGCGTACAGCGTGTCGATGAGCCACTGCTTGTCCGTCTTGCGTACCGACTCGAGCACCGGGTGCATGAGCTGTCGGAGAGGGGCGGCATTCAGGACGAGCCCCTGCTTCGTTGACGTGACATGACTCGTACGTTACAAGACCTCAACCTGGAGAACTGGTCGAACATCCCGAGCAAGTATGTGTACGTATGTTGAACTTCTTTCGCACAGTACAAAGCCCACCGCGCTAATCGGAGGTGCGAGCAGGATCCTCCGGATGAAAGAGACCCAAGATTCAGCGAGACATTCCTTGGTTAACAAAAGTCATATAGGCAATGGGGTGGAGCTCATATGTCCACTTTGGGCCTTGTGCCCAGTGCCGGAAATTACAAATTTCTTTGATGGGGGAAATAACATCACTTGGGACAATCACAATGTGATAGGGCTGAGTCGACACCAAGAAGGATATCAACATACAAACTTAGAACCACAGGACACCCCACCGCTGGGTTTGGTAAGGTATTATGGGTGTCTTTTATACAGGTAACAAGCACTGGCAAGTTTGCCATCTTTGTTTTTTTAGGATAGCACTCGAAGTCTACACTCAAGCAACACAATGCCACATTAAAGTTTACTTGTGCCACTTGGTGAGAACTCCAGACATCAGGATGATGCTCATTTGCAAGAGTGACGTGGGTCACCAAAACGACAAAGGCAAAAAAAATAAATTATATTGCCATTTTATTCTACACCTCCCATTACCATGGTTGGCTACGTACGGTGAGAAAGGAGTCCAACGTACCTACATATATACATATCTCGGCCACCCTTATTTAGCAGTAGGTCGGGTGGTCTAGCAGCAACATGGAACATGTGGGATCCAAAGTCTACGTGAAAGGAGCTTTCCCTATTGAGGAAACAGTTACACACGTGCCTTGAGTAACGAATGGCTGAAGTGAGGAAGCTTACCAATTCCCCGAAATTGTACACTCCCTCCCCGAGAAGCCCGGCCAGGCCGAGAGTGAATGCCCTCTCCTGCTGCTCTGTCACTGCACACATCGCAACACGCAGGGCAAGACATGGGTGTTTGGTCTAATTACGCTGTAACACCTGGTTCACGGGGCAGGGTAAAACGGAGTCAAGCAATCTTGCTGGGCAGTGGTCAATACCATCGTCATTCGCAATCCTGGTTTGCGGACACCCGAGAGAGCACTGATGGGAAGAAGACACCCAAGAGGATGACTGTCATGGGGACGAAGCGATAAGATCGGCTCATGCTGCAGGCGCTGGGTGGATTGTTAAATCGTGAGACTGTGAGAGATGGCTACATCAGGTTGCCTTCATGCTAGGCCGCAACTGACTGGGCCGGTTGGGTTATTACCAAGAATGTCCTTGATGTCGATGCAACCCAGGTAGCGCAGGGCGTCCTTGTAGTAGGAGGCGTGGTCGCCCATCAGCTGGTAGTAGCGGCTTGACAGGTCGTAGAAGCGGCTGTGCACACTCGTCACGCCGGGCAGGCTGTCCAGGGTCTCCCCCACCTCCTCCACCAGTTTCTGAGGCAAAGATTCGCAAACAGACGCAGCACATTCACGTCACATGCACGAGTCGGGCTGACAACCTTACATTTTTTTTTAATGGAAAAATATGACCAACATGTGTTGCATTTCAAAGTTATATATCATGGCAAACATACCTTTGGGACAGAGGCATTAAATCACATAACCTATGCAAAGGAGTTAAGGACGTTATATCTGGAATGTGTATTTATTATGCATTCACCAAGAAGAAACATAGATTCAGGTGGGTCCTGCAACTGATAAATGTTCGCCCAACTCTTAGTGTTTTCTATGTGGGTGGCAAGAAAAGAACTCGAGGAAAACCGAGCGGCCACCGCATAGACCGTTTGCCGTGCTGCCATTATCCTTGCACCTCACAGCCCGGCAGGCTGAGAGCCTCGCAGCGACAGAACGATCTTTTCACAATCCACCAGCCTCCACCTTTAGAACGCCGCTTCACAGGCGTGCACCGCAACGCCCATCTACGCCACCACATTCCGTTGAAAACGACAAATACGCCGCCCACCGACCTATCCCTTCTAACGTCAGGAGGCGGTTGCCAGCACCTTGGTGTCCTGCAGTTCGTTCTGCTGCATCTTGAGCACCCCGATGGACGTCTTGCATAGGATGACAGCCTCATCATTGCCTTTCACCTGCGCGCGACGACAAAGCACAGGAAGGGGGTGATGAGTCTACGAGAATTCTAACGGTCCGACATACGGTGCCTTTTCACTTAAACATATGATTCTGAAAACTGTGGCTGGAAATAAAATGCTAAAATTTCTAGGAGCCAGATCATTTAAATGAACGACTTGCACGACAACACAGGGAACCACCGATCAGCCGAGGCACTTTTGGAGCAAGTGCCGTTTGTAACAAACCATTAAGGTCAGCACAGCTTAACAAAGCATTTAACAAACACACATGAAGCAAATTACATAAAGAGATCACTACTAATACATTATAATTAAATCCACTATCAGTCTCTCCAATCATGAGATATTTCTACTGACTGTCACTTCTCTACACTTGTATATGTAGGGAATCTGGAACTGTAAACTCCGGGATTCACTATTTTGTCTCTCCAGCACTGAAGTTGACCTCGGAGAGACCCAGGCAAAGCTCAGAAACCAGTGGCTACCGACAGAGATTTGGATTTCCACGCACGCATAGTATAAATGAGCGCAAAGTGAAGATTCGCGCACGTGCATTGGCGATCACCCACTCCCATCTGATTAGGGAAATGTACCCATTTCCTAAGCGCATTTCACCTTTTCCTTTGTCTTTTCCAAAAACTGCAGAGCTTCGTTTGGATCTGAAAATAGGAAAATATACGCACATTAAGCATTTAACATAAACAAGATCACTAGTAATATATTCTAATGAAACTCACTATCAGTCTCCCCAATTATGAGATATTTATACTGCCTGTCACCTCTCAACATTTGTATATATAGGGGAATTTGGAACTGTAAACTCTAACAAAAAAACAATTCAATACTTAAACTCATGTGTTGCCAAGGAGCATTGTGGGTAAAAGCATATTGTGCTCCTCGGTTATAACGCTGGTTTCGGGGAGGCGCAGCGACTGGCGTTATAACCCCTGCCACGGTATCACCGAGGACGCTGGTTAATACTTAGTTATAGTAAGTTAGGGGTGACACGGTGGCGAGATGTTAACACCCTCGCTTGGTATGCAGGAGGTCATGCATTCGATCCCCACCCTGACGCCTGTATATTTAGAGTCTGCATTTCTCTCTCCTCGTGGTCGTGTGGATTTTTCTCCGGGTCCTCTGGTTTTACCCTACACATATAGATACATGCGTTTCAGAGTATTTGGCTGCTATAAATGTCCACATGATGAACTATATGTCAAAACATCCATCCACTGTCTCGTTCTTGTAGAACCTCATCTCCTTCCTTTCCAGTCCTGGAGTGTCGTCCAACTTACCTAAAAATGAACGTAGCTTTCCTTCTTCTGCTATCAATGCGCATATCATACCCTCTGTGATACCCTACTCATGTTTAACCCTTGCCCAATCCGATGATGTACGTGTAAATCATCAGACAATCTGAAAAATAAAATAATTTCACTTGTATGTCTCTGACGTACCGAGGCTCCCACAAGGCAAAGCGGGAGGGCGTGTAGCACAGTTTGGCGCCAGCTATCTGTGCGGTTGCATCGCTACGGTTCTCTGCGGTGAGTCCAATGTCTTTGAAAACAATGGCGCTACGCCTCTCTAAATAAAATTTACGTCGTGATTGTTTTGTTTTAGTATACTTTTATTGTATTTCTACATACGTGACTTTACCGAAAAAAAACAATGAGTAATTTTATGCAGTCACGAAAGTTTTAATAATTTATTAAAATTTACGGGACCCCCACCCTGCAACTTGCAGATGTCTAGGAACGGGAAAGGGTTAAATAGCGCTTTTGAAACCTCACTCTATACTCTTATACGAAGGTGTTATCAGCCAATTATTTAGTGTTGACATGTGGAAAGAAACCAGAGAACCTGGAGAAACCCCACACATGGAGATTTTTTTTTTTTACACACTTGCTGCACGTTCTTCTCCAGGCAAGCCTGGGTACGGCCCCTCCACACCCACAGGAAGGGAGTCTCACAACATTTGTGCGATCCACCAACCCTCGTCTCCGCAGTGCTGGATTACAGGCCATGTGGTATAGCCATCCACGACTGCCCGGAGCACACTTGTAATCCAGCACTGTGGAGAAGAGCAGGAAGGCTGCTGCCTCAGCTACATTGTATTTGTTTTATTAACTCCTCACAGGTGGTGCTTTGTGTGTTGAGGAACGAGTCATACTTTACGTAGCACTGACTAAGCACCACAATGAAGGGTCCCCTCAAAAGAGTCTACACTCGGTGAATCTTTTCTAATGTTTTCTGCGTAAATAGAAGAGCACAGAGTGTATGGTAAACACGTGGTTCTACACGTGTGTGACCATGACTTACCAGTGATCTGCTTGATGATGTGCAGTATGATCTCCACCAGGGACAGTGGGTTTACTCTTTAGACAGCACAGAAAGTTTGCAAAAGGGAAAAAAATCAACATGAGAGTGCACACATTTTAATAGACGAATTATGACTTCATATTAATTGGCAATTATTTATGCACATTACGACAAGGCTTACCTGTGTTCAAAGTCACACAGAAAGTTTTCATACATCTGTATAAACAAAAAAAGAAGACAGCATGCATTTGTTTAGATATATACGAAAAGTGGGGCTCAGCCCAACCAGTTTTGCTGACAAACCATGGAAGGATTGTTCACACTGTAACAAAGGTAACATGAAGCACTTGTACAGAAGACTTAACAACTTACAAAAGACTTAACTGAACAAAGTTACCTGGACAGGTCATAGGAGACTGTGGCTGTCAGAACCAGAATCTTTATTTATACTGGAGGAACCCAATGAGCTATCAAGCTCTTTTTCATAAATGCCCAGTACGGGCAGGCCACAAAGTTACAACAAACAATACACAAATACAATAGGAGTGTAAAGTATAGGAAAGGTAAGCAAATCACCAAAAGTAACTATTTTTATTTAACGAGGTAAAGCCCACTGCGCTATAAGCTTCTTTTTCAGAAGCGACCTACACACAAATGATAGCTCAAGAAGTGGCTTATGATGGGGGAAAGAGTGCACAAGATGGTAGACATGTCACTTCAGACGTGGTGGGGCCACCCTCACGACATTGACACACACATAACCGTGAGTGACACACAGACCGAGGAGCAGCTAGCAATTGATCGGTTTTCTCCGACAGGAGCTGTGCACCATGGAGGACATTGCCAGGGCTACAGACTGGGCCACATCACCATCAGGCGCCCGACACTGGATAAACATGTTACTGGTGGTAAGACATGGCGAGATTAATAACAAAAATACATTACGTTTGTAACAAATCACATATCATGCTTATGAGTGACACGTAACAACCAGACTGACACTGCTGCGAACATCATGTTTGGTTTGTTGTTGTTGCTTATTCCCCTCCCCTTCCCTGTTTTTTTATGGACTAGATACAATGCTTCACAGATACACCCCCTTTTTCTGTATAATTTTTACTGAGTCATTATTGTGGGTTCTATTTTATTTTTCATTTCTTGTGTGTACAAATTTGTTCACTCATTTGGCTTATATTTAACAATAATAAAATATATTAGACTGACATAAATTAAAGACCCTTGCAAGTTTCGTGAACCTTATAAATCAATATTAATCACCTATACTTGGCACCTTTTAAAGGAGCTATCTCATGGTTAAATCAGCATGGGTCTGAAATACGTTGATTAATTTGTAAGGGTACATGGACAAATCCGAAGTGGTGTGTCTTTCATACCTTGAGCAAGCCATCGCCTTCAGAAAAACTTGGATGCTGCACAAACGTGGTAATATGCAGTGTGAGTTGATGCCAGAGTCTAAATACACACAGCAAACAAAAAAGCGACATTTAATACTCAACAGCGTCAATATTGCAAAAAGGCACAGTAGGATGCCTCTCATTCAATGCAAATATCATCCACCAGAACTGCAAGTCTGCACTTTTTCAAATAATGTAAGACTAAAATAGGACTTTTCAATTCCGGCAAATCGCCTGATGGAGCTGGCTGTAATCACCAGCGAAACGTCGTACTCGAATTGTAAATGTCGTGGGTTTACTCTCCACAATATACCGGTGTGCTATACTAGTCACGAATTGGCATGTCGTTTACGTGCAAACATCTTATTGACTGGCTGTCAGGTGGTGGTGGGTTAACGACACATTTATAGTATATTTGCGCGATCTAACAAAAAAAAACCTTTATGGATGTCGGATATTTCATAGGCTACCCCCTGAAAAGCCTCCAATGGCTCACACAGCAAACCACGACACGAACCGTTTCTTGGGCCGTCTGGAACGCTCTTCAGATATTAGTAAGCCAACGGAGCTATGCACTTTTAATGAATCGTCTAGACTGAAAACTCACTTCTTTAGAACTGTTTTTTGGTGTATAGTTTGCCGTCCTTTCTCCCGCACCTATTAGCACGGTTGGCTACGTACGGTGCAAAAGAACAGTTAAACACGTAGCTTTTTGCGACCAAGGAGGGTTTTTTTGGGGGGTATATCGCGTAAATATAAAATGTGTCATTAAACCCGATGAAGCTAGTTGCAATTGCTGGCGAAACGTCGGACTCAAATTGTAAATGTTATGGATTTACGTTCCAACACACCGGTATTGCTGTACTAGTAAGGAATTGGCATGTTCTGTTTGCGTGGCAAACCCCTTACTAATTTGCAGTGGCGGCGGGTTTAATATTTTTACGGGATCTAACGCCCCCAAAAAAAACCTCTATCATGGTGCGAATGAACTTTATACAACCGATAAGACTCGCCACCATAATGACAGCGCCACGGCGAATGAGCAATACGACTGCAACAGCACAAAATGCCGAAACATAAAACACAGCGTGCTGACGGTGTATAGACACAGTAACGTTACAAGTTTTGACAGAATATAGATTCGACTGCTGGTCCATGTTGCTACGGGCTGTACAAGTACAGAGCGACACAGCAGATGCGGCACCTCAATTGTGACGCGTCATGGTTGGTTGTTGTTGTTGGTTGTTGCTGTTTCAACCTCGCGTCTTGCAGGCCGATACAGGCGCGCCGGTGTTTGTAGAATAACACCGACAATGCCAGAGTGGCCTCCCATCGTTCATTCACTGCGTCTCTACCCGCCGAGTTTTAACTCAACTCAACTAGGCCTCCACCACGCAACGGGGCCCCGACATGCGACCCCGGCCTCGCCTGACCCTCCCATGCGGGACGCGCGCCTCGCGGTCCCGGGCCAAGGCAACCAGGCGAGGCCGAGGCTGAGGCCTAGGCGGCCGAGGTGACTCAGCGGCAAAGGAAAAAGCGCCCAGCGGGCGTGCGCGAAACGCTCACTTCTTGTTGTAGAGCTCCTCCAGCCTCTGCCACTCGGCCGCGAGCTCCGGGGCGCTCTTGCACTGCTGCTGCTTGAGGAAGGCGGTCACGTCCCTCATGGCTCCGCCGGTGTTGGGGAGGGGGTGGAATTTAAAGTGAAGTTAACGACGAGGAGGCGATAGAGGCGGCGGCGGAGGTAGGCGGGATGGAGGGCGTGACGTCACCCAGCGGTCAACACTGCGCGGTGACGTCAACCACCAATTCGTTTTGAGCGGTAAATTGACGTCACACCACCTCCCCCCTCCTCCACTCACCCCGTGACGTCGAAATAAAAAAAGTGACGCCATCGCCAAAGGCGTACGTCACAAAAGCGTGACGTCACACTCGCAGACACCTTCAACTTGTTAATCTGATCAGAATCAGAATATTAATCTATCCTGGAGGAATCCGATGAGCTATAAAGCTCTTTTTCACAGGCGGGTCAGAACGTTACAAGAATAAACGATGCAAACACACGATACAGGAGTGCAAAGTATTAGAAAGGTAAACAAACCATATATACAAATAAAACTAAACTATTTTTTGTATTTTACCAGGTGAGGCCCCACTGAGTTATGTAGCTCTTTTTTCAGGAGTGACCTGGCCATCACGAATGACAGCCCAACGAAGTGGCTTGTCGTCGCGTGGACATTTATAGCAGCAGCCAAATAACTCTCAACGCGTGGTGATGTTCATTCTAAATGTATGTGGAGTGGGAAAATCGGGAGGGCCCGTAGAAAAATCCACGCGAGAGACATTCAAACTCCAAATACACAGGCGTCGGTCCAGATCGAGCCCACAACTATCTGTATACCAGGCGAGGTAGTCAACGTCTCCTAGCCACCGCGGCACCCCGGACAATGCCCCCCCCCCCCCCCCCCCTCAACAAAGTGGATTACCACGTGGAAATGTATCGCAGGAAAACAATCTAAATAATCTAAACGCATGGCCAGATTACCTCCAGGCAGATGTCGCAAACAGCTGCTTTGACTTTCTGGTAAGCTTGCAGCGGAAATATTATTTTTCGCAATCATGAAAACATTTATAACATTTTACGAATTACAATTATCGCGCTATCGGTACCCGTAACTTCGGTTATGTATTCTGTATTTTCATAGTTTTTCGTTCGTTGCCGTATTTCAAATTTAATAAGGGTTTCAGCAGATATCCTACAATTCTCGATCCAAAAACCCACCATTCCCTGTAATTGGTTCTTCTTCTTCTTGATTCGTTCCCAACTGCCCCTAAGCTTTTTTATTTATTTAAAGCTTTCGTGACTGCAGGGATTCATATTCTTGGTTCCTTCGGTAAAGTCACGTAGAAGGGAAACAATAAAATAATACAAATATATATAATTTTTTGTGAAAACCACAGCAAATTTTCTTGCTGTGGTTTTCACACCTGATGATGATTGCTTGTGTTGCAGTCGAAACGTCGTGATAATTTTGTTTTATATTTTAATTATTTTATTGTTTCACTTCTACGTGACTTTACCGAAAAAAACAAGAATATGCCCCTAAGCTCTCAAGCTCCCGCCTTTTATACCATTTTCCACCGAGGGGCAAAAGTTCTGTGGGATCCCAGCACCACATCCCCCTCCCCTCTAGAGGGACCCCGGCTAGGGGTGTAAGTAATGGGAGTTAACCGGCGTTGGTGTGTGCGTGTTCCATTACCACCACCAAACATTAACACTGCATCGTCCTTGTGTTGTTCACCTTTTGGCGTTCTTTGGTCTACAGCACCGGTGAGACAAAGCCATAACAGAGGCTGCCTCTATGTGTAGCTCATGCAGACGTAATGCCTTGTCATAGCTATTTGAACATCTTAACACCTCCTGTATGAATGCCAGAAAGAGTAACGCTTTTTCTTATATATTTTTTATCATCTTAAGACCGTACCAGATTTCTTGAGGATAAAAATAAAAGATAGCTTTTTACCATACTGTCAAAAAGAGTCCCATAGATATAGTTCAACGTCAACTGCTCAGAAAGCACGTTCTAATAAGCGCGTTCTTGCGTTGTGCAAAGTGTGCCTGAGTAGAACCAAGTTAGAGCGAAAACGCGTTGTGCAAACACGCGTTAAGTGAGGACTTAACGTGCAGCATTTTTTTTTTTAGGATTGCCAGGAAACAGCAGCAATGTGAGATAACGGTCATGATGTCTTGGCACCTAACGTTATTGAGATGTCATCAAATGGCTGTGATGTCCTTCAGAGTGCAGCGTGACAATGAGACCCTAAAGATGGATTCAATGGAAAGAGCCATTCTGTAATTGTCATGGTGATATAAATTGTGAAGGGGCTAAGCTATAAACACATCGGCAACAGAAAACAAAAATGCTTGAAAAAGTCTTTATTAAAATAACACATTAAACAAGTTTCAAAATGCTTACAAAAATATTCCAAATACAAAACTGTACAAAACTAGCCAAGGGAAACATTTAAATGCCTACTTTGACAAAGTGTCAAAACACTTTCTGACGCTCATTACTGCACAACGCCATTTAAAACAAAAATGGGACCAAAACGGCCTGTCCCCACACTTCCAGATAAAACAAGCCCACATTAAACAGAAATACTGTGGTATAGAGAAAATCTCTCCTACAGACCGTCATCAGCAATGCCTCCAATAGAGAGATGGTCAAGGCATGAAAATGTACCTTAGAATAGTCTCCAAAGCAAATGAGACAGACGTGAGTTCAGCTGGACAAACCCGGTTAACTATGAAGCTCTTTTACAGGCGTCCGTCCCGCCCAAACTGGTTCATGACGGCGGAAAAAAAAACCTCACAAATAGTACATCGATGAGTGCTGCATTTACTTCGTGAAATGATGCACACTACGTGAAATGATGCAGACTTTTATCGACTCGAAAAACATTTTTTTTGCATTTATCCCATTTTTCATGGTACACTTTACATTTTTACCAACAATGACACTGAATTTATGTTACCAGTCATTTTTTTATGCCATTATAAAATGCCCTTCTATGGCACACACATGATAAAAAAACAGCTCCAGCATGACACTGCAGAACTGCTTATTTAAGTCAATTTAAAACGGCACCTTTCCTCTTTAAACGCACTTTGATGAGTTTTACTGCATTAAGTATTAAGACACATTGATACATTTCAGCATGCTCACTTACACCTCTCCCCCACCCCTAACCCCATGCCAGGCAGAGCAAAAATGATCTGAAATACCATACTCCAAAAGCCAGGTTGCAATGGTTTATCCACTACCCCTTTTCACCATCGACAGGTTTTGGTCAATTACTTAGCTGCCCACCATGCACTGACAGCCAAACTCAAAAACAACGCTGCAACGTGCGATCCGCCGGAAAGCCAAATCAAGTTGAAATGGGCATGGCGAGTGCCAGAATTGGATCGTGACGTCTTCCATCAGGCCATGCCCAGGTAAACCTGGTCAGAGGGAAAGGGTGTTAAGGAGATAATTACCACAGTACATTTCTTCTCGAGGAGGCAATGGGTGAGGTTCTCTTTAGGTAGCGTAAACCAGATGTGATTTATTCCCAAGACCTTGGTTGGCAACTGGGAAGATGCGATTGGTACTAACACCCGAGTGTAAATGCTACTCCAAAACATGAGTAATTAAAGTCTAAGACTTGCATTAGCGACTCAAAGAACAAGTCCAAATGTAATCAAGCGGACGTATTGTTTATCATTAATATTATTAAAGAGGGAAACGGTTTTCCAGCCTCCAGTTAGAAACGTGCGTTTAGAGCATTTGGCTGCAATACATTTCCACACGTTGAGCTTCTTCTGAGATGTCATTTGTGATAGCCAGGTCGCTTCTGAAAAATAGCTAGGCCTTACTGATGGCGATTGTTCGTGACATGTCATTTGTTTAAATCGGCACGTATGAGGCTCGATGTGGCTTTCCTAGGCTGAGATTGCAAACTGATATTCTGTTAAAATGGCTCAATGTGAAAATGACATTTGTTCATGACATTTTTAAAAAATCTGAATGATAGACATCATGCAATGACTATATACACCAAATATTAAACTCAATAAATAAAGACTGCATTTTAAATTGATAATATGAACAAATAGAAGTCATAACTGTAAACCCAAGCAATACAATTTTTCTCAACCAGAAAGAATAATTTAAAGCTTAAATATTAATAGACTGTGCAGATCCACTCCATCACAAAGCACAGCCCCCCCCCCAACTGTCACAAGAAGCTGCCATGAGCTCATTTGCTCAAAGTGAAGTTAAACAGTGTGAACTCATATCACATGCATTCATTAGGGCATCCCAAACAACACCACAAAATTCAGTTCAACGTCGAAACATTTACACAAATCGTTGTGCAGGTGTTTTTTGTTTTTTTTACCAAACGATTTGCGCAGCACCGAGCTGTTATGTCCAAATCAGATTGCGATATGTATTTGGATTGTTATTACATTTGTGAATCTTCGTGGCAGTTCGAAAATAAAAAAAAACCAACGTCGTTCATCGCGGCGGATGCATTCGCCGCCGTTACCCTTGACAGCGCCGCCAGAGCCACGCGACTTTGTCCCTGCCAAACAGTCCCACCCGCCGCACGTACGAACATGCGTCGCTTTCAAAGCCGGCCTCGGGCGATGCCTGCACTTGCGAGGCACGCGCCCACGTGCCACACAACACGGCCCACATGGGAAGTGCAACAGCAGGAATATAAACAAAGTTGCAATCAACACGAATGCAGACGCCACGCTGCACTGCTTAACTTCATCTTCAGCCAGTAACATATTGCTGATCACACGGAAGGAGAAACATTTACTCTACTTCGGACTGAATAAGCTTCCCTTTGACTCCAACTTAACAGTATAAATCAGCCAAAATTACCGGCGATGTTCAACACCAGTCAAGACTAAAAGCATCAGAATCGTTTAAAAGCCGCTAATTATCTTTACACTGCTAATGAAGAACCCTACACCAAGTGGCAGCATTTATATAAAGCATGGCAACAGTTCTTTAAAACGTTATTGTAAATGACTATATTTGATATCTCTTACTTTTAACCGTTTTCGAAGCGTTTCCCATGCAAAACGGAAATAAGCTCGACGAAATGCCTATGCTTAAAAGCACAGTGACATTATAAATCAACACCTTTCACGAGAACATCTTCGTTCGCTTTTAAATATTTTACACTACTCGGTAACATCTGCAGTTCCCCCCTCACCCAGAATCCCTGAACAAGGCGAGTCTGACGAAATTCGTTAAGTAGAAAAATACGAATGGCACTATTAAAAGGTTGCCGTCTATATACGCACAATTCAGTCCTGAGTTTGGCGGTGTTTTTTTTTTTAAAAAGATATTCGCCATTTCTCATCAGATTTCCACGCGCACGCTAAACACCGCAGCGAGAGCCACAGGTCCGGGGCCTGTTCCGTTTGTGTGTCGTGACCGTCACACACATTCACTCAACGAGTTTGACCTGCAAAAGGTGCGGGGGCCCCCTCCCGTCTTTGACGCAGGAGGGCCTTGCATTAGGAGAACGTTTGCATCTGGAGGGGGGCATTACTACCCCGCTGTACAAAAGGCACGGGCAGAAAGCAATGAGGATGAAAAAACACAGTTGGTTGCAGTAAACGTACAAGGGAACACTGGGAAATTAATCCAGCCGCGCACACACACACAGACTCATCCGGAAGCGCCTGCTGACAGCCAATCCTTTTGGTGCAGTACTCTTCAATACTAACAGGGGCAGCCATTCGCAGTGAATGTTACTGCACCAAAAACTGGTAGGGCTAAGTCATAGATGTCAACATCGAGACCAGAGACCAGACATAAAACTCAACATTCACCCTAGGAAGACCTTGAAATCAACAACGACCGTATATCTCTGACACTGAACTCAATACCCACGCTATGGCCTCCGCCAAATCGCCCAGCAAATACGTATTTCACACGATGGGGAAACGTCTATGCAGATGTTTTTTTGCCAATGCGGAAGGCAGTGTTGCTCTTCACATTATGGTTTTTGCAAGCAAGAGGAATTGTTATTTAACATTTGGCCAGCCTCGATGTGAACTCTGACGTCCAAGTATTTTGAGAGCAACGGCTCTAATTGCAGGAGACGAGAGAGCGTGTTGAAACGACCTTAAGGTTACATTGAGAAGCAACCACCAAAATAACAATAGGCCTGGCAGCATTCATTTAATAGGCAGATTATTTCTAGTGCCCCTTGGAGACGGTGGGACTGCGGTGGGACGAAATCACAATTGGGCAGAGAACCACTGAGGGCAGTGTTCATAAACAAATAGAATAAACAAAGGTGGGCGACTGTTGAGAACGAGTGAGGGAATCCTATTGCCATAACCACAAGCGATCGTGGCTCTAAATAAAGGCAGATTTCTGACAGATTCTTAAAAAATAACACGAAAGATATAAAATACTGCTTCAAATCCAAAACTAATGCACAATAGCAAAACACACTTGCTTCCCGAGGCAGTCTTAGAGAGATCAGAGGTCTCAAATACCCGAGCCTGCAGTCATTGTTGCTCTAAATAAAACATTCCTTCGCTTATCAATACAAAAACTCACCACATTCATCGCCATCATCATCACCAAAACTACCTTTAAACCACCGCTAGAGATAAGCTGCCTACCGGGTATTTTCGCATTCTTCTTTCGTATGGATTAATAGCAGCAGATTAAAGATGTGGCTTTAGATTTCTGTTCAGACGCAGAGTGGATCTCGTACGTTCCTCCTTTAAAGGAGTGAAGACAGCAGCTGTTTACGATGTGGTCGAAGGTTTGGGATTCGTGGCCGCACTCGCAGGCCGCCGAATCTTTGATGCGCCATTTGTGCATATCAGGTCCTGTTTCGGTTGATGGTCGACCATTGGCGACGTGGAAGGTTGAATCGGGAGGTTCCATGGATAGGCTGTACAGATCCACACGATTTGTGGCGCATTAACACATGTAAATTACGTACGCTATTCTAATCGAGTGAGCATGGCAGTCGGCTTTAGTGCGCACGACAAAGTCCAACACTGACACGTGAGTGGCTATGTGGTGCGGTCATGTGATCCAAGGGCTCATCAGGGGGCGTTGGGAAATGTGGCGCTAAACTGAGCGTAGTTTTAATTTCTATCGGAATTTAAAACAATCCTATACGGCTTTTGAAAGAATAAGATTTTTCATTGAGAAACGCTCTGGTTTGTCAAAGCGTACGCTTTCGTACAGTAGTACCACATTTTCGACAGTAGTTCTAAGAAAGGCTGCAGTCAAAATGTCAATGAATACCCCATAAGTTAGCAGTACATATTGCGTGCAGCATTTGTCAAAAATTAGTCACGAAAATCAAGGTAATGACGATACGAATTTACTCGACTGCACACCGATGATGAATGCGTTGAGTTTTTTGTTGTTTAAGACCTCCTTATCAATCAAAACTAAAGTTTTTCACTTACATTGCCTCCATTTCAGTGGACAATAAACAAACTACCACCTATGCAAAAAATGTGAAACAAAACGATGACTTTGTGGAATTTCACGATGACGTCCGAGTACGCCTCCTGACGATCACTGGGTGACGATGGCAAGACACGAAAATTAACAAACCTCTGCACCGGGATATTTGTATTTGAATGTTTCGTGAAATAAAGATTGCACTGCACGATGCATCTCTGTGTCTGCACATCGATCGGCAGGCCCAATCGGTGAACCCTGATCAGCACAATCTGGATTGCCAATTGTAACCAACGCACTGCAAATACAGCAGCAGGTGACCAGTGGTGTGTGGGCACTATTTGTCAATGCGACACGTAAGTAGGAAGGAGGGAGCTGTTTGCACAGTGCACTACGCACAAAGGCTCGCTCGTTTACTCGAACGCCTAACTTGTATGCATGCATGTACGTACGTTGAACTTCTTTCGCACCGTACGTAGCCAACCGTGCTAATCGGAGGTGCGGCTTATTGTTGTCTTGCAGGTTTCCCCACCACAGTCTACGGGCTGCACACCCCACCCCCAATGCCTCACAGCTGCTCGTTTCGATTTGGAAATATACAACACGTGTGCGCGCACGTGCACGTACGCACTCACTCACTCACTCGACACACAACACACGCGCGCCACAGCCCATGCTCCGACTGGAAGGAGGAATGGAAGGCGCGACGGTGGCCAGCGCCGTTTCACCAGTCCTCTTCGTCGTCGCGGAGCTGCGGTGTTACGGGATTGGCGGCGAGGGCGGCGGCAGCAGCAGCCGCTGGGCTGCCCGTTATGGCAGCTGCGGTGGCGACGGCGGCGGCGATGACGGGGGTAGCGGGCGGCGGCATGGCTGGGGGGCGGTCCCCACAGCACGGCTTAAAGAGGTGCGGGTCGATGAGCACCTCCCCGCACAGCCCCATGTACACGATGCCGCAGCACACCTTCTGCCTGAAAGCGATGAAAACATGAAAACGGTGGAACAACTTCAGTGTCGTCCCAGTCGATCAAAGGCCGTTTCGGACACATTTGTAAATACCCGATTCAACATGAAGGCTGCCGACTAGATAGCTCGCGAGGTATTCATCATCTTCATCGCTGCGTAGGGTTTTTTTTTTTGCGGTTGTGCTGCGTAGCTCTCCCAATTGTTTTAAATGTTTATAGGTACATATATATTTTCTACTTTTTTTCGCGGGAAATAGCTTAGGCTACCAAGGGTGAGCAGCAGTTACATGTAAGGTAGAGTGTTGATGGATGCGCACAGCATAAGGCAACTTCATTTCCGTCCTGAACCAAAATGTATACTCTGTAAAGTATTGTAACAACCTAAGCACACTTTTTTTTTTTACAAATGACAGATTAAATTAGCTCCTCGTCAACTCCACGACCACTCTTCGTGCAAGCAATTGACCTGCAGGTGACAAACTGGCCAAGGTACACAGAAACTGCGCTATTTGCGACGTCACACTTGTTATACCTCTAGTAGGTCCGCTGAACATGCGTATTCAAACTATAAACTATTAACCTTTGGGAGAGAGCCAGGGAGAGAGACCCAGGGAGAGAGACATAGGGAGAGAGAGCCAGGGAGAGAGAGCCAGGGAGAGAGAGCCAGGCAGAGAGAGCCAGGCAGAGAGAGCCAGGGAGAGAGAGCCAGGGAGAGAGAGCCAGGGAGAGAGAGCCAGGGAGAGAGAGCCAGGGAGAGAGAGCCAGGGAGAGAGAGCCAGGGAGAGAGAGCCAGGGAGAGAGAGCCAGGGAGAGAGAGCCAGGGAGAAAGACCCAGGGAGAGAGAGCCAGGGAGAGAGAGCCAGGGAGAGAGATCCAGGGAGAGAGACCCAGGGAGAGAGACCCAGGGAGAGAGACCCAGGGAGAGAGAGCCAGGGAGAGAGAGCCAGGGAGAGAGAGCCAGGGAGAGAGCCAGGGAGAGAGAGCCAGGGAGAGAGACCCAGGGAGAGAGAGCCAGGGAGAGAGACCCAGGGAGAGAGACCCAGGGAGCGAGAGCCAGGGAGAGAGAGCCAGGGAGAGAGAGCCAGGGAGAGATACCCAGGGAGAGAGATCCAGGGAGCGAGATCCAGGGAGAGAGAGCCAGGGAGAGAGACCCAGAGCGAGCCAGGGAGAGAGAGCCAGGGAGAGAGACCCAGGGAGAGAGAGCCAGGGAGAGAGAGAGAGCCAGGGAGAGAGATCCAGGGAGAGAGATCCAGGGAGAGAGATCCAGGGAGAGAGAGCCAGGGAGAGAGAGCCAGGGAGAGAGAGCCAGGGAGTGAGAGCCAGGGAGAGAGAGCCAGGGAGAGAGAGCCAGGGAGAGATACCCAGGGAGAGAGATCCAGGGAGCGAGATCCAGGGAGAGAGAGCCAGGGAGAGAGACCCAGAGCGAGCCAGGGAGAGAGAGCCAGGGAGAGAGAGCCAGGGAGAGAGACCCAGGGAGAGAGAGCCAGGGAGAGAGAGAGATCCAGGGAGAGAGATCCAGGGAGAGAGAGCCAGGGAGAGAGACCCAGAGCGAGCCAGGGAGAGAGAGCCAGGGAGAGAGACCCAGGGAGAGAGAGCCAGGGAGAGAGAGCCAGGGAGAGAGAGCCAGGGAGAGAGAGCCAGGGAGAGAGAGCCAGGGAGAGAGAGCCAGGGAGAGAGAGCCAGGGAGAGAGAGCCAGGGAGAGAGGCCCAAGGAGAGAGACCCAGGGAGAGAGACCCAGGGAGAGAGACCCAGGGAGAGAGAGCCAGGGAGAGAGATCCAGGGAGCAAGATCCAGGGAGAGCCAGGGAGAGAGAGCCAGGGAGAGAGACCCAGGGAGAGAGACCCAGGGAGAGAGACCCAGGGAGAGAGAGCCAGGGAGAGAGAGCCAGGGAGAGAGAGCCAGGGAGAGAGAGCCAGGGAGAGAGAGCCAGGGAGAGAGAGCCAGGGAGAGAGACCCAGGGAGAGAGACCCAGGGAGAGAGACCCAGGGAGAGAGACCCAGGGAGAGATACCCAGGGAGAGAGAGCCAGGGAGAGAGACCCAGGGAGAGAGAGAGCCAGGGAGAGAGAGCCAGGGAGAGAGATCCAGGGAGCGAGATCCAGGGAGCGAGATCCAGGGAGAGAGATCCAGGGAGAGAGATCCAGGGAGAGATACCCAGGGAGAGAGACCCAGGGAGAGAGACCCAGAGAGAGAGACCCAGGGAGAGAGACCCAGGGAGAGAGACCCAGGGAGAGAGACCCAGGGAGAGAGACCCAGGGAGAGAGACCCAGGGAGAGAGACCCAGGGAGAGAGACCCAGGGAGAGAGAGCCAGGGAGAGAGACCCAGGGAGAGAGAGAGCCAGGGAGAGAGAGCCACGCGCTGGGACCGACCTCTTCCAGTAGGAGCGGTCGAGACAGGCGAGGGCTGGGTCGGGCGTGCTGGAGTGGCCCAGCTCCACGTCGGAGCCCTCGTCCGAGTGGGGGCTGTAGCTGGGAGACTGCGATGGCGATGCACTCGATGCGGTGCTGTGCGCATCCGAGCCTGTCGCACACGTAGCACAGGTAAAGATCCCCCGTGTAGCCTTTAACAGACTGTTGGCGCGAGCGCCGTTATTAGCGAGCACAAAGGGGGTTGGGTAGTGTGGCGAGAATCACGGTCTGCCTTATTTTTCTCCCCAATGCTGAAGTTTAGACACCACACCAGGTGCTTATTTAAGGCCGATTCAACGTAGGGGAGGCGCAGGATCGGTTCAGATCATTAGACTGCTGGGACAGACCCTGGGGACAATTTACGATTGTAATTGTATCATCCATCACGAACTCCGAGCGGAACGTAATTATAATTTTAGCATAAAATGTTGCTGCTTTTAAATACATCATCTGAATGTAAAGAATACAAAAGGGTGTTAACAGATTTATTGCAATGCTGCATTTAGACAAACGTAGTCTTTCTATAGGAATGAGGCTATTAAGGCACAACAAAACACCAAATCTATTTGCTTTACGGTCTTCCGTAAACATGTTTAAGCACACGGCAGCGAGCACGCACTTTGAATGTTCAACTTTTAAGATTTGTTTTCTCATTTCTTTCCCTGTTACACTCATGGCTGCTGATGTGTTTTCGCAATTTATACTCCCCTTGTCATTCAAAATCAGCCGCTCAACACGAGGTTGCTTGGATTTGATCCATCAACTGGCCTGCCACTTCCGTCATCAGAAACTGGCTCACCCGTTTCTAAACATCGCCACGATCTATACGGAAGCAGACGAAAGGAAAATTGAGCGTCCGTATTTCCTGCCAGCTAAGCTAAGGTCTTGTACCAGGGACTTACACCAGTGCTGCTTCATGGACCTGGTAAAGGCCAATGATGATTCCATCAAGATTAGGATTTGAATTGTGCTTCATGTATTGACGGACTGCACAGCATATGCGCCCCAACAGCAGAGCTGGGGTCAAACTTAATTACAAATGAGCAACTTTTTTTTTTAAAGAGAAGAACGCTCTGGCTGGAACACCTCAATAATGTGAAAAACAGAACCAACTTAAGTCACCCGTGCATATTTACAATGTCTAACCATGGGCGATGCGCAATATGAAAAACAACAACAAAGCACACTATTAAATACTTATTTTGCCGCGCTTTGAGATGTACTCACAAGATGAGTGGCATAAATAATACATTACGATAATGGCGATGATGATGGTGAAAAACACAGCCCAGGGCTCGACTCACTCTGTCTCTTGAGCTGCTGCTTGATGCGGTGAATCTGGCCCACACTCTTGGGTCCGACGAACGGGGACTTCATTTTTTTGGGCTTCATTGCCACCTTCAGCCCAGGGCCAGCCCTTGCATCAACCACCTGACAACACACAGAGCCCATGCATCAACCACCGGACCCCCACACAACACCAATACACACGGCCCCTAGCATCACCCACCTGGCCACACAACAACAACCGCCATTCGCCACTAAGTGGCGGTGACGTCACCACGACGTTTGTGCCAGATTATGTGCACCTTGAGGCCACGTGAAGTGTCGAATGCCCACTGGCATGAGGTAACAGGGCAGACCCAGGTGCCACGGGTCGACTGACTGAGATGACGGACTGAGATGACTGGCTGATGCACCACCTGTGCCCCCTACTGTGCCAACTTGCTGTGCTTTAGCCACCCGGCGCTCCGCTCGTTGTTGTGAGCGTCGCTCCTCCGCCCTCCGTTGTTGTTGGAGGGCGACTGCCTCCAACTGGCCAGTAGCGTCCTCCACGCCTCCTCCACAGAGGCTGATCTTGACACCGCTGGTACCAGTCATCGGCAAGTCCACTCAGCTACACGTCCTTCTGTACCACATCACTCCATCTCTTCTCTAGCCCGTGCCGTGCCCATTTAGCCCCCTCGATCCAGCCGAACAAAAGCTGTTTAGGCATGCAGAGGCTGGGCATGCAGGCTACATGACCCAGCCAATGTAGCCTTGTCTTTCGGAGGAGCTCACCGATGGGACTTTGTCCACATCTTTCAAGGATTTGTGAGCTCCTCACACAATCCAGCCTGGTTAAACCCAGGATGGATCGTAGGCAGGCCAGCCTAAATGTTTCTAACCAGCGAAGATGTTCCATTACGGGGGTACATGTTTCGCAAGCGTAGAGAAGGGAGGGAATGACCGTGGCCGAGAAGACCTGAAGCTTTGTGCGGAGTGATAGACCAGGTAGCTTCCACACAGCGTTACGCAACCGATGAAAAGATAATGCCGCTCGACTGATTCGGAGTGAGACCTCTGCTGTTAAACCAGAGCCGGTCAAGAGCACACTGTCAAGGTATGGGAAACTCTCCACGCTCCACAACTACCCCATGACCAATTGGGAGTTGTGGGGGTGGAGTGTCCGATGGTACAAAATACCCAGGCAGGTGCTTAGTTTTGGAGGAGCTGATGGTAAGGCCCCAGCTATTGGTGGCAAGCTCCAGGTTCAGCAGCAGCGCCTCCAACTCCTCCTCTGAGTGAGCAGCAATTACCAGATCATGGGCATACATAACGTGGTTGAGCAATAGGGAGCCATCCCTTGACCGCACCTGGGCATCGATCAGCCTCCCAATATATCTGTACCTGGCCACACACATGCATATACTCAAATAAAGTTGGGCCAAACCACGATGGGAAAATTCACACGAGAACCACCTGTTACATGGCTTTGTATCTGTAGGTCTCTGTGCGTGTGCCTGGGTACGTGTTGGTATCGCGGGCAGCACAGTTGGTGACATATCAGTCATCTCAGTCAGTTATAACCGATAACATCTTAGTCTGTGAGCAAGCCTTCGACACTTAAAGGCGCCTTTTGGCGTCATCTGGTCTAGCACCAATTGAGACCAGGCTCTAAAGCTGTCTCTGGTGTGGACCAATAAGTTTCAAGGACAACGCATATATTATCAGTGTTTTTTTTTGCATTTTGACTGCGAGTATTGTGGTTAATGCAGACATGAATCCTCGTAAAAAAAGGTTTCAGTTTTGTTGCCAGAAAAAAAGGGGAAAAACCCTATTATTATATTTTGGTACTGGCAAAGGAGGTCCAATGATGTACTTAACTTAGCCTCAAAGTATACCCCAGCCTGGCGCAAGCGTTCCGGTGACGTCACCATTACCGAGTGGCTGTTGCTGTTGTATTTGCACGTGTGTCTATGTATAGCTGTACGTATGTACCCTCTGCACGTATGCCTGTGAATGCGTGTGAATGCGTGTGTATGCTTGTGTATGCTTGTGAATGCGTGTGTATGCGTGTGTATGCGTGTGTATGCATGTGCATGCATGTGCATGCGTGTGAATGCCTGTGCATGCGTGTGAATGCCTGTGAATGCGTGTGTATGCGTGTGTATGCGTGTGTATGCGTGTGTATGCGTGTGAATGCGTGTGTATGCCTGTGAATGCGTGTGCATGCCTGTGTAGGCGTGTGTATGCGTGCGAGTCTATCTGGCGTGTCTCACGTGATTCCAGTTGCGAGTGGACCCGGCTGGAAGCTTCTTCCACCTCTTGACGAGCAGCACGCAGGCATTGCAGATGTCTCCAGTGCGCGCCTCTGTGAGCCTGAGAACATCGCGCAGCCACGACGCACCATACACAGTCACGACGTACAGCTCTGGGCTACCTTTGGGAAGAAAGCCGAAGGTATTTCCCACGCAGACGAAACACGATGTGATGCAGCCAACCCCTGAGTTGGTGATGGCATTCAATTAAAGGAGAGGCAAAGCAAAAAAAACAAGGAGCTCTACTTCATATTACAGACAGGTTACCCGGGCTGGCAGACGTTATTTTTAAGCTCTGGTAATGAGAAATCATCGTTCTACTGACTTTTTAGGCACACTGCCATAGCACTCTTTTGTAATGTCAGGGGAAATACCGCACCGTACATATGCACAAGAAAGATATTTAGCCACAAAATGAACCCAGGGTGTTGAGGGCTGGAGTTTGAAAGCCATATTGGTGACGTTGCCCGATATCTGGGAGCCTGGATTCCAGAGGTGAATCACGCATTTTTCCAATAATCAGATTTCAGCTTCTGTACTGCTGTGGTTTCACGTTGCTTTGCTATTTCGGTAGAACAGCAGCCAGATGTTTTGTTGGGATGCATCTCTGCTCATCAGCAGGCAGTGCCCCAGGACTACCGTTTTAACAAACACTGACTCCTTCAGCATCGCTGCCAGTCATCCACCCAAACCATGGCAGCAGCAGATGTGGATATCTGATGCACAAATGGAAAGTAAAAAAGTTCTCCAGTAGTGTGCAACCATGGTCATCCAGAACAGATAGTACAACGTATATCGACGCAATGCCCAAAGAAATCCACAAATACTAAGGAGACATCGTGGTGATACACTCTGCTGGCTCCTGGCGCGGTTATCTCGCTTGAAGCACCCGAATGTAAAATTGTAGTTGACGCTCCGCATCTACATCAGCCGTACGAAAGACGACGACGACAACGACAACCCACCCAAAGCAGCTCTTGAAGTCGCCCTGGTAACGCCGGCTGTCCGTGAAGCGAGAGCTCGAAGACTTGGCCTTGCAGATGCAGCATCCGTCAGTGCTGCGATACATTTTGGGACGGTGGAAACCGAACATGGTGGTGTGCAGCGGTGGATGGTGGGGGGGGGGGCACGGGGGCCCTGCGATCCACACGGCTCTGCGGCAAGCTCTGCCTAGGGAGGGGAGCAGCACACAAGGGCAGAGGGCAGTGATCAGCAGCAGCAGCGGGCTCGAGGTACAGTCCGTTCTCGTAAAGAACACCGCGTTATGGAAAAATCGCGTTATAATAAATAATATATGGTAAGCATAGTCCGTACGCAGGCTGAACAAAGACTGAGGCACCTGGGTCGCATCCAGAAGCATCCCGCGTCGTATGATGCTCATTCCCACACGCACGACGTAGTTCCAGTCGCTCGATCGCGTAATATCCAATTCCCATCCGCGTTATATATATAAAAAAAAGTGTTCCCTAATACATTCATCGCGTCATATCCAACTTGCATCACGAAAACAACATATAGCAGAACGGACTGTACCACGAGCGAGAGCCGAACGAGAGACGAAATGCATCTGTCAAGAACGACTCGCCAATTGGCGGACGCTCGTCCGGGTAAAACGAGCACGGAATCAAAATGGGATTGCCGTACAACAGCATGGCGGGGACCCCGGCGTCCCGGATAAACGGCAGTCAAAATCGTAATTAATTCCATTTATTTTTTGGCGACTCCGTCCCACCACGCACATAAAACGCCGCGACCCACCTGCCCACGGATGATTCTGTTGTCGTGTCGTCCCAAGCGGCAGCGAGGACAAACGCGCAAGAAGAGACGAAACTTTTAAAAACAGATCGCCGCATCATTCGCCTTCAACAGGCATACAATGACGTCGCAACGCAGTTTATGCAAGAGCCCCGGGGGCTCATGGGACCCCGGGGCCCCGCCATAAGGTTCACTTTGCGCTCAAACATCTGTGCCAACATGTGTCTAGACTCTTCATGAGATTTAGCACGAGTTGTACATTAGCTGGAGGCGGTGAAAGTGGGGTTTATAGCGCCATGTCCTATAAACCCAAGTTCGATTCCGGATTGCAGCCAAGCGGTGAGTGATGTAGGTGTGATGTTTGAACTTCTTTCACGCCGTATGTAGCCGATATTGGAAGTGGCTCTGCCTGCCCCCCCCCCCATCCACTCCCCCAAACGAATAACCAGTGGTGGAGTATGGTCAAACAAGTGGCACTGCCGACATAGCGCAGGAAGTACGTTTAACAGTAGGATTGACAAATGGCCCGGAAATTATTACATGATTACGCCACAACTGTGCTTTAAGTGTCACAAGGTGAAGAGGCACCATATCCAACAGAAGCATCATGTCATCAGTAAATGGCCCTTGAAAAAGACACTACGGAACTACTTCTGGAGTCACTGTAATTTGTAAAAAATTCCAGATTAAATAATAAAAATATCGCTTTGACCGTCACACGACGACAAACCTCTCAAATCCCAAGTGAGCAGGAAAATTGCGCCCGCTACACTGTCGACCAGGTCACTTGAAGAAATATCACAGGTAGCTCTGTAATATCTCCTTCCGTAGGCCGTTCGCCGACAAGAAGGCTTCCGCACTGCTCTGTGAGAAAGGCCCGTATGGATATGTCGTCTCGTGCCATCAACATCGATGGCACAATTGAGATAAAATTGTGGGGGGTGGGGGGGGGGGAATTCCAACATGTCTGTATATATATATTTTTTTAAAGAAGGTAAACTCGCAGAGTTTGACTTTGAAGCGAGATGGACGGTGCCGTGCATCGACGTGACACTGCGCAGGGCTCCTGCCCGGTGGTTCCTCCGAGCGGTTGGACCGGTTTGTGTAACCGCTGGACGGCTCCGCTGCATACCCCTCCGCCCCCCAACACCCCCGTCAGGCGCAGATGTACACAGCCCGTCACACCCAGACACCGCTGCGTCACACACCACGGGACAACACCACAGCTGCAAGACCACGTTATATTGGCGAGGTAGTCTAGACAGCCACTAAGATAGATCAGACTTGACTTCAGACCGTGTTGTTAGCGCTCAGCCACACAACTGCTAGACGGACCGGACTATACCACTACACCCGATCACGGATACACAACAGGTTTACACTGCTGCATATCAGATTTCATGCAGAAAATCAGGTTACAGATAAACCATCCTACTGATAAACATGCTGAATAAAGATAAACTTTATCCTACCGTTAAGCTCGTATCAATATCATCATAGTCATCCTCAAGATATCACCTATCCACTGCTGATTTACTTTTGTTATATAATCCACAAGTCCCTCGGGCTGTCTCAGCGCAATTCTCAACAGGTATCGCTCCCCATATGCTCCTTTGTGCACTTTTTATTGTCTTTGTCACGTGCCCAAGAATTTGATCCATACGCCAAAGCAATAATATGGACCGAGAAAGGACATTCCTCCAAAGGCACGGTCGATCTCACCATCAAGAGTATGTCTCCTCGATTGTGGGTGCTGTCTGCAATGTCTACCTCATATTTATTGCCCGAGCTGTCGTAATCATTTGTAACATCTCGTTTCGAATATGCATGTATGCTGAACTTATTTCGCACCGCACGTAGCCAACCGTGCTAATCGGGGGATGCAGGGGAAGGCCAATAATCTAAACACAAAAAAGCAGTTCTAAAGAAATGAATTTTCAATCCAGATTTAAAAGCGAATCGCTCCAGTGGCTTCCTAATATCGGAAGAGGGTTCCAGACGGCCACAAAAGTGCGCGATACAGTGACCGTCTTTGTTTGATGGTTGAATATCACAATATACCGTCCCCGTCTCGTCCATGGTCTCATTCGTACTGTATATCCCACGGGTGCTTTTGCATCACTGTATTTTGTTTAGTTTGCACTCGTACACGAATATTCCCGGTACAAGCGAATAAACACCTACTGAAAAACCAGACCAATGAAAAACAAGGCTAGGCCAGACTACTGATAAACTAGAATACACAGGAGAGGCAGATGACTGCATTGCACTGTTACACAAGGCTACAGACCGTGCCTAATGCACCATGGGTACCGTTATACACCAGGGAAGTGCTACACAACAGAGCCGACCTCCACCGCGCAGCCAAATCACCCTATCTGCGCAGACAATTCCGCAATTACAGTATCATCAGAATGTTTGCCTGGCGGCCCTTTGAATGGTAAAAAACCCACTTTCGGTGTCTTTGTTTTCCCCCTACATTAGCTGCCCCGCCCATGCTGCTGACACACTTGGGCTACGCACATTTTTTTTACTTTATAAACAGTTTGCCTTTATAGGCTAATTCCCCCCCCTCCCTTTTTCCTGATGATGACCGCTTGTGTTGCGATCGAAACGTCGTAGTTTTTTTGTTATTTTCTTTGAACCTATCTACGTGACTACCGAAAGACCCAAAGAATATCATAAGAATGTCTATTTATCCTGGAGGAATCTGATGAGCTTTTAAGATATTTTTCAAAAATGTCCAGCAGGGGCAGGGAAACGAAAGGACATGTCTCGGACCGTGTTAGCGGACACAAGGTAGATCTGAAACAAGGTAGGACAAAAACCTCTGCCGTTGCTGATCATTGCTTTAACGCTGTGGGCTCACACGAAATTTATTTTTCCAAGATGAAGGTACTCTGCAAAACCCACCGGCTATCATCAGAGATTTGTTCATGAAGCCATCCAGATATATAAATACAGACAACTTCAACCAAAAAGATGGGTACAAACTGAGCAATCATTGGAAGGACGTTATTAACCTAGTAAAGTCTTAACTGTGATGTTTCCATCCTACCTGCCTATGTCAGCTGTTATTTCCAACTCTGAATACATCACCAGGTTAAATGTCTTTACATTAACGGGCTAAATGTCTCAATAACACAGCTACCATTGCCCCTTTTCCTCGATGTGGCGGGAGCTTTCGTTTTTTAACAGAATATAACTGGCTGTGAAGTTTCTATGTGTCTATCTGTTTGTTGGTCTCTGTGTGTATCTCTCTCTGTGTGCGTCTCTGTGTGTGTATCTCTATGTGTCTCTCTATATGTGTGTGGCTCTCAGTGGGAGTTGTCTCCCTATGTGTGTCTTTCTATATGTGTGGTTGTCTCTGTGTCTCTCTGTGTATCTATGTGTGTTTCTCTCTAGGTTGTGTCTCTCTGTATGTGCTTGTGTCTCTTTGTGTGCGTCTCTCTATGTGGATGTCCCTCTCTGTTTGTGGGTTGTCCCTCTGTGTGTGTCTCTCTCTCTGTCTCTCTCTCCATGTGTATCTCTTGCGGGTATTTTGTTCCTGTTGCTCGGCTGTCTGACATTGACATGATAATCTTCTCATTGGAACAACCCCCGGTTGCTGGAGCCGTCTCACATTGACATGCTAATCTCCTACATTTACATACAATTCCATCTCTAGCTCCGCCCACTTACCCTTGGGTTGGGCCCACCAAAAGCCTATATAACCTCTTGTTGCTGCAAATCTTTCTCCTATGTCAGCAGTTCTCCTACAGTGTTTGTTTCACCTGATGACGATTGCTTGTGTTGCGATCGAAACGTCGTGATCTATTAATTTTCTACCTACGTGACTTTACCGAAAGAACCAAAGAATATGGATTCCTGCAGTCACGAAAGCTTCCAATCAAGAATGTAAATTATTTTTTTAAAAATGAAAAAGTCAAGTCAGTGTCTCCGTCGCTCAAACAAGCCATGGGACAGCAATCACCCTGTGCTGGTGTTCCTATGAGACAGTGACGGAAAATCCATCAAGGCGAATGCTCTCACTTAACAAAAAGTGTTACTTGTTTTACCAACTACAGACAGACGATTGGCTGAGCTGTCCATCCATAGGGATTTGAACGTGCAACCTTAAGATTTGGGACTGCTCAAGGACAGTCCACTGAGCAACACATACCCATGGATGAAAAGTTGAACATGTAGAGGTTTCAATGAAATGTCCACAACGTAGCTCATCGCACAAACATATTAACCATATATGCAGACTATTCATCATCCCAGGCACTCTGGCACATCAACATACGTACAGCAACACAACAGCCACCAAGACTTGTGCATCACCAAGTGTTGTAAATTCCGCAGCTCCACGGCAGGAACCAGTTTACGCATTTCACAAACTCCAATGTCATTCCTGCACCACTTCCTACACTAAAGATCTGCAGCAACAATAGGTGGTACTAACTTTAGCGACCCCGGTGAACAGAGGGTGATGGTCAAATGTATGGCAATGATTATGGGCGTTATGCATGCTTATACAAATACACGATATGAATCCGTGCATGCACAATAGATATGAGTCCGTGCACAAACACATTGTAAAGCCATGCCGTATGGGTCATGGGGGTTATTTGAACATACTTCACCACGACGGTCAGTATAGGTTGGGGAAGGCAGGGGAATATTTACAGCTAGTACTGCATATGCCGTATGGGTCATGGGGGTTATTTGAACATACTTCACCACGACGGTCAGTATAGGTTGGGGAAGGCAGGGGAATATTTACAGCTAGTACTGCATATGGCTGCTGTAGCCCGCATGAGCCTTTAACATATGTTATTCATGGTGATCGACCAACCAAGAACTATCCAGACTAAATCATTGCTTAGCTTTCAAGATCTGACGAGATCTGCCGAATTCCATGCGATTTGACCATGGGCACATTTTGTTTTGTACATGCATTTACACATATACAGACTCGACACCCACGCGCGCATAATATACAAAATTCCACATTACTATAGACGGAGGTTGGCGTTTAAAAAATAACATAACAAACACAGACGACTATAACCAAACTTTGGAAATACTGTACCACTTTCCCGAGTATCAGTCCATCATCTGCAAAAAAAGGCTCATGTTGATCTTTGTGCATCACTTCCTTCATCGAAAGTGATGCAGCGTCTGCAGTTGTACTCAGTTTAGAAACATGCATTTAGATAATTTAGCTGCTATAAATTTCCACATGAGCCACTTTGTTAAGCTATCATTTGTGGCCAGGTCGCTTCTAAAATAGCTCAGTGGGCTTGACTTTGTAAAAAAAAAATAGTTGTATTCGTATACATTTTTCAGTTATTTGTTTACCTTACATATTACACTTTGCGCTCCTATGGTGTTTTGTACTGTTTGTTGTGACGTTCTTACCCACCCCTACTGAACATCTGTGAAAAGAGCTTTATAACTCATCGCATTCCTTCAGTATGAATAAATATTCTGATTAGCGACACGACTGCGGTGATAATGCCAAGATAGATGATTGACATTACAGGCATCAAAAGGATCACGTAGATTTAAGAAAATGCGTGGTTCTCTAATCCACGTGGTTCCTCTCTGTCTCAATCTAGTCATTCCGAGCACACATTTCTCCATGATTTTATGCCACTATATACTTGAAGGGTTTACATTTACATAGTCAATACACGTCGAAGATTTATTTATACTGGAGGAATCCGATAAGCAAAAAAAAGGCTTTTTTCACAGATGTTCAGTAGGGGAAGGTAACGTTATAACAAAAATACAAAAACACGATAGTCACGCAAAGCATTGGAAAGGTAAACAAATCACCCAAAGACACAGACACTGAAATAACTTTCAGTAGTTGTCTAGCAGCAATGAAGTACACAATCAGCGTGGAACACCACATCGTGGATACTGCAAACGCCACACACAGCACAGAGTATGTGTCAACGTTGTCTCCTATCACACCACAGGTTTGAGACCGAGACTACCTACGGCCGCATTAGTAACCCTTTGATAAAAAAACAACATCATCATCAGTATTATTACACTAAACTATCTAAATTACTGCATTTTTTTATGATACCACGTCAGGCCACCTTGAGCCATTGCATAGGTGTTTTTCATAAGCGACCTGGCCACAAATGATAGCTCAACAAAGTGGCTTATTATGTGGACATTTATAGCAGTCAAATACTCTAAATGCATGTTGATTCTAAATGAGGGGAAAACCAGAGGACCCGGAGAAAAATCCACACGACCACGGGGAGAGAGAGAGAGACATGCAAACTCCAAATATACAGCAGCAGGCATCAGGGTCTGCGGGATCGAACCCACGATCTCCTGCATACCGGGCGGGGTAATTAACATCTCTTAGCCACCGTGACGCCCCAACATCGCCAATGAGGGCCTGCATCGTCAACATATGCAGCACTCAGGTCTCCCCGTCCATCTTCACCACCACCCCCTCCCCCCACTTGATCAGCGTGGTGAAGTATGGTCATGCAACCACCACGGACTCGTCCGACTTGAGAGAGGAGGAGGGGGGGGTATCCTCATCCATTCTAGATTTAATAGAACCAAAGAGTATGTATCCTCGTCCAGCTATAAATGTCCACATTAACAGCCGCCACTGCGTTGAGCTGTCATTTGTGGCCAGGTCGCTTCTAGAAATAATAATAAGTTAAATACTTCCGTGGGCTTTAAGTGGTAAGATTTGTGTTTTTTTTTTAAGTTTAGTTTTATTTGTAGTTTTAAAGTCACTGTTGGAGAAAGTGATCTTAGCGAGTAGTACCTATAGAGGTCGGTACGGCGAAGTTTACACGCCGCACCAGGTACTCATTTGAGGCCGAGTCGACGTAGGGGAGGCCCACGAACGGTTGTTGGC